ATTACTTTTTGCTCAGAGGCAAAGGCCAGATGCTCTTCTTCTTGTGTCCTCTGAGAGGACTGACCTATAACACCAAAAAGAAAGGGGCCAGGGCATGCCCACTGCATCAGCAAGCCACTGCTGTGAGGCCTCCTTCATCATCATTGTCAGGGAATTAGGACTCCCGAAGTACATTTTCTGGATAAATGAAGTTAATCATTCTTATTTGATTTTTTTCTTTCTGTTTTAGAAACTGAGCCTAATCTTGCAAAAATACACTACACACTTCCCCTGCACTCTTAAATTAGAATGTTCTTAAAATAACTTTAATCTTCTTTGATAAGCATGTTCAATCAAATCAAATTACTGTTTACTTTGTTTCAAATTTACTATTTTCAGAAGCACAATATAAGAATGCTTGTGAAAATCATTTGCAAAGCAAGAGTAGGACTGAAGTGGCTCTCTAAGTGATACTCGCAAACTTTAAAGAATGGATTTTATTACATCCACTTTCCTTTCCCTTCTTACTTGGCACTCAGTGTTCCATATCAGACCAGTACCTTGAGAAGAATTTCAGTAAAACTTGCAGTGAATATGATCATGGAGACAATAAGTCCCTGGGTATTAACTGGTTCTATGCCCCAGACTGCAATTTCTGAAGCCCAACATTGATCACATTTTCTGTTTTTTACATGGTTATAGAACTGTTCTTTACTTCAGAAAACTTAACTGTTTGTAATGATATATCTCTTTCTGATTATTTGATTGATATTTGCATCCCCTAATAGACTATAAATTCCAGGAAAGTGGGGACCATGACTGGTTTTGCTCACCATTACACCGCCAGCACCTAGACTAGTAGGTGCTCAATAATTTTGTGATGGATGACTAAAGGAACATCTGGCAAGTCCAGAGCCCAGATTTCTGATTCTGCTGATGCTGTCTTGTGAGACTTTTGACAGAGAATTACACTTCCTCTGAGTGTCAGATACCACATTTGGAAGAGGGTCTTCAACAAGATGATCACAAAGTGTGCATCCACTTTAGACTTCTAATCTACTTAAATACAAGGAAACAGCAGAAGATGTTAAGATTAGAGGATGGTCCAGTAGGGAGCAGGAGGGGAGGCAGTGGCAGGGGTTGTTGGCTGAGCCTCCTCAGGAAATGACAGAATGACTCCTGGGAGAAATGTGATCTCTCTACAGCCATCTAGCGTTTGGAAAAGTTATGAAGGGAAAGAAGTTTCCCATTGAAACCCTCCTTTTCCTTTCTGCATCTCTTACATAAAACCTCAACACCCACCACCATCATCATGACCATGCCACCACCTCCAATAAATCAGTGTCATCATGCCTCCCATTCTGTCCTGCCTCTAAGAAAATGTTGGAATAAACTCATTCACATATAAGTGCAGTTTTAGGAACTTCCTATCACTGTACTCTCCTGCCATCTGGGTTTGCATTTTCTAACTCAGTCTGTTTGGGGGAATGTTTAACTCATAAATAAATTGGTAAAGATTGAACTTCAAGCAAAATGCAGGGGTACTTTTTTAGTGGTCAAAAGGAGAGTTTCATAAGGGTCCTCAAATCCCACCCACTGCTTTGCCAGCCCACCTCAGTGCCTGGCTTCTAGGAGCACCAGGAAAATCCAAGTGAGCAAACCCAGTTCCTACATATCACTTTGTAATCAAAATGATCATTTGGGTTCTCTACCTCCCAGGGTCGAGACTATAGTGAGCCAAGTGGGACATTCACCTCAGGAGCAAAATTTAAGGAGGCATCAAAAAGCTCAGTAATCAAGATAATATTTTAATGTAACACTTTAAAATCAAAATTAATTCAAAAATCCATGATAAACAAGACATCAAATTTTTAATAAGCCAAGATCAGTACCATTGATTTTTTCTTTTGCCTCAGCCTCCAATATGGCTCAACTCAGCACTTCCTTCCATTTTGATGAAACACATAATGAACGTGCAAAGGAAGCACATTTGTGCTGGCCGCATCACTGTGCACAAGGGGAGGATTGTCAGGTGAGCACCCAGGGCTCAGACCAGGGTCACAGCGGTCTATGAACTCGTAGGAAGCCCTCAAGACACTCATTTGATGCCGCCCCTCAGGATGAGTCCTGGAGGGACTGTTCTCAAAGCCCAAGAAAGAGGCTCTCAGTGGAGCACAGCAGTGCTGTCCTCTGTTGAAACCGTTACTGTTCTGCACACAGAAATGTCAGAGCCATTTACAGAGTTTTCTCATTTCCCCAGGCACCCATTCCACCCTGCATACTGAAGACGGGATCCCTGCCATGAAACAGCGAAACCCTTAATTTCCTGTACCACCAAATATCCCTGTCCTGATAAAATCCGTAGACAAACATTACTGATCATTTTCTATCACTCTAGCAGGAAATGCAGGGATGGGGAACAAAGGGAGATATTTCTCTTTGCTGAGCACTGAGAGCACATGATAAATGGTGACAGGGAAGTCTCTGTGTTCTGAGATACTTTTAGTGGTTCCTGAGGAACAGGCCCGCCCACTATCCTACAAGGGGCGGGGCGGGGGTGCAACAGGAGGCACCTCATCAGTGCTGTTAATCAGGGTGCTATTAGGGCTCCAGCTCCCCTCTGCTAATGTAGTCAAGGCGATAATGCCAAAGAAGGAATGCTCCTTAATTTAAGTGATGGGAGGATATTTTTGGAATGGAAATTAATCCTTTTTTAAAAATAAATGGTGGAAGGGGGCCACTCTTGAACAGAGTACTGCTGCTGCATAACAGCTGTGGCCAGCCCAGACACTGCAAACCTGATGATGTTGGGGAAGGCAGGCAGGGCTGACCTCAGGCATCCTGTAGGTGATAGTTCCCTGCTCCCGGTGCGTCAGTATCACTGTGTCCACCCACAGTCCCAAAATCCATCCTGAGTCATCATCATGGGACTTCGGTAAGAAATTGAGGACTAAGTTTCACACTGATCTCTCATAATTATTTTTGCATTTTACCAGAAGATTCTTGATTAATAAGAATTTTGAGGAATCTCTAAAGATAATACATCAAGCATTTGTAATAGGCAATATTCCGTGGCTGGAGACCCTGTGAAACATACCCTCTGGGGGTAACGTCAGATCCTGAGGATGTCCACACACCAGATAGTGAGCTCGAAACACTTAAACAGCAAAACTCTAAGGTTAGCTAACTGGCTGGCTTCATGCCGGTGTATTTGCAGTAGAGATATAGAAAGTGAGAGACTGGAAACGCTCAGAGGACAGGGCTTGCTTAGTAAATGGGGGCCTTTGCTCTTGATATTCCTCTTTGGAATATTTCCCCCCAGATTTCTCTCCTGCAGTAGGCAGAATAATGCCCCCACCCCTTATTTCTGCACCCTAATTCCCAGAACACGTGAATATGTTAGGGTTCACAGCAGAGGAAATTAAGGTTGCAGATGGAATTAAGGTTGCTAAACAGCTGAACTTAAGATGGGAAGATTACCCTGGATTATCCCAGTGGACCCAACATAATCACAAGGGTCCTTATAAGCGGAAGAAGGAGGCAAAAGGGAGAGTGAAGGAGATGGCAGTGTCAGAAGGACAGGGCCTGATGTTGTTGGCTTTGAAGACGCAGGAATGGGGGACATGAGCTGAGAAATGTGAGCAGCCTCTAGAAACCGGAAAAGGCAAGAAAACTGATTGTCCCCAGAGCCTCTAGAAGGAATGCCACCATGCCAACACCTAGCTTTTAGCCCAGAAGACCCATTTTGGACTTCTGAATTCAAGAACCTCAAGATAATAAATTCGTGTTGTTTCAAGCCACTGTTTGTGGTAATTTGATACAGCAGCAGTAGGAAACTAATACATCTCCTCATCATTTGATCTAAGCTCAAATGTCATCGTCTTAAAGACTTTTCTTGACATCCCTCACCTGCTAAAGTATCTCCCCATGCCTAGACGTTCTCTATAACATGCTTCTATTTTCATTTGCTTATGATTATCTAAAATTATTTTATCTACATGTTTATTCCTCTTCCCTCTCACAGGAATCTAAGTGGTAGGAGGGTAGGGACTTGGTTGCTCTTATTCACCTATGTATCTCCATTGCTTAGGATACCACTACATGGTAGGCATTCAATAAATATTTGTTGTGTGGATGAGCCTTAAGCTAATGAGGACCATAACACTCTTGCCACTGCCGAATCACAATTAGGGGGCAGCTATTAGAGAGTCCCATACCCAGCAGGTCCTGTGTTGCAAGGAACTGCCCAAGAGAAAACAGAAATAGCAACAGAAATAGCAAATAGGAACTTCCAAATAGGCAGTCAGTAGCTTGATTTTAGGTAGGGGAGGCAGAAAACTTGAATAGCCAGTACTATACCTGAACAACTGCAGACCAGAGAGTCCTCTCTGATTGCCAAGAAATAGCAGTTTGGGAAGATGAGAGAGGGATGAGAAGATAGGTAATCTAAATTAATCATATAAATATTGTTTAGTCATCACCATTCTTAAGGGATCACACCCAAAAATGCCTCATAAGGAGGAAAGAACAGATGAGTAAAACAGGACAAAATAGTAAGATTCTTTTCTTTTTTAATTGATGGGTCAATTCTCTAATGGAGATTACGAAGATTATCAGGTTCAGCTCAAGACCGCAGGGCTGATAATCTCTCCAGTTTTCTTCGTCTGAAATAAGCAGACCCGGTTCCTAAAAATGCACCCTCAGAAAGGGGCTGGCCGCCAGGGAGGCAGGATCGGCTTGGCCCAGTAAGGGAGGCTGTCCTGACAAGTCTGGTGTCAACACCCTGGAAAACGCCTCCAGTCTCGGTGCCTCGTCAGGCTGGTGCTCGCATAGAGCCGCGCCCCAGATGCAAAAGGTCGCACCCGCCTCTGCACCGCGGACTCTGAGCCAGGCAAAGCCAGGAGTTCGCGTCCTGAGAGACCCGAGGCCCTACGTTCAGCCAGCCAATGGCCATGGGACGGGGGCGGGACCTCGGGTAGCAAGCCAATGGGATGCGGCGCGGCTGGAGCGCGGCCGGTCCCAGGGCGGCGGGGGTTCGCAGTCCCAGCCCCCGCCATGTGGGAGCCTCGCGGGGCTGAGGCGAGCGCGGCGGCGCTCGGGGGCGCGCTCTTCCTGCTGCTCTTCGCGCTGGGGGTCCGCCAGGTGCTGAAGCAGAGGCGGCCGACGGGCTTCCCCCCGGGGCCGTCGGGGCTGCCATTTATTGGCAACATCTACTCGCTGGCCGCCTCAGCCGAGCTCCCCCACGTCTACCTGAGAAAGCAGAGCCAGGTGTACGGCGAGGTACAGCCCGACGGGCCGCGGGCAGGGAGGGCCCGGGCCTTCCTCCCGGGTGGGCTGACGGCCGCTCCTGGGCCCGAGCTGTCGGGGCCCCGCCCAGCCGGGAGCCGCACCCGCTCGACGTCCCGCGGGATCCAGGCGGGATCCTCCCGCTTCCGAGGGCGCCGAGGGGTGCTCCCGCGCCTGCGCAGTGGGCGCTCGGGCCACGCCGGCCGCCGTATGGGCCGTGGCGGGCGCTGCCCTCAGCAGAGGGAGCCCTGGGCCGAGGTTCTCCGTGGTTAGGTTGGGTTTCGAGGCACGACTTCTCGGGAAGACAAGGCGTCCGAATTCTGGGACCGAGTTAATGCTTAATAGGAGGTTCTTGGAAGTTTGCATTTGAGGACGGCTGGTCTGGGCGTTGCTGTGAGGACTAGAGAGCGCGGGTGACGGCCTCTGGCCCAGAAGTGGGCTCTGGAGAATGATTGGGAAAGAATGAACGAATTAATAACTAAAATCGGTGTGGAGTCTACAGCGCTGAGGGAGCAGTGTGGTCCTGACTGGCCGGGAGCATCCTCATAGCAAACACAGAATGTGCCTGCTGTGGGCAGCCTCCGTTCCAGTGTGGACTGAAAAATCGGTAAAATCGAATAGCATCCGTGCTGGTAGGTGCAAGAGAGGCAGAGGAAGAAGAAAGGAGCAAAAATGAAAAGAATGGAGGCACTGAAGAGTAGACATGGTTTGCCTGACTCTGCCTTAGACTTCCGTTGAAAACCACCTAGTGTGTTAACTTTTTCAGCTACGGCAGCGTTTGATCTTAGTTGTCAAACACTGCTAAATGTCTCTCATTGACTAAAGTATTTCCCAATTCTGACAAAGTCTCAAAGTGAGTATAAGTTGTTAAAATACTATACCCTTTCTGAAAGTGGGAGGAGACTGTTACCTCCCATACTTCTGCAAGGACTTGGAGGTGTATGCTCACAGAAAAAAAACCTTGGACTTGAAAATTGCTTATGAGAAATGACAGTCACTTCAAGTGACACCTCCTTTTTTTAAGTCTATGAGTTCAATTCTTTGTAATTCTTGAAGGGAAGACAACCAGTCCTCAGGACTTACACTTTCATTTTAAAGGCAATCTTAAATAGAAATGTACCACTGAGAATTACCATTTCCTTGGAGATTCACTCTGAGTATGTAAGCTTCTGCAGTGACTTAGTCTTAATCCAGACTTCGAGAAGCATTCCCTAGCTAGCAAAGCTATTACAAGTGTTTTTTACAGATTATTTTCAGGTAAATGTAAGGACAAGAAAATAATTCCTTTAAGGTAAGTAGGGTTGACAACTTATTAATTTATTTATATAGTAAGCATTTATTGAAACCTTTATGCACGGCACTGAATGAGATTGTATGGAGGGTTCAAAGATGAAAGAGATGAAATCACTGAGTCTAAGGACTTTATAATTTAACAAGCAAGCAGAAGACAAGAATATGAATGTTTCTGGTTCAAGGTAGTATTAAATAAGTGCCATGGGAGCCTCTAGGCATGTGCTGCGGTGGTGAGAGAGAGAGAGAGAGAGAGAGAAGGAGAGTGCGCCAAGAAATGCATTGTGGAGGATGGTCCCTAAAGACTTGGTATGGTTTGGACAGTATGGCGGTAAGGGAGGCATTCCAAATAAGAAAACAATCTAAGCAAAGGTTGAAAAGTGTATGGCAATTATTTATCAGTTTTCATGAACAGCACTTTTCACATCCTCTATTATTAGCACTTAGCCCATGGTGTTGTAATAATATGCCTAAATGTGTGTCTCCACCACTATTCATTAATTGAACATGTATTTATCAATTGTCATATGCTATGTACTGTCATAGGTGTGAAGATATAGCAGTGAACAAAACAGATAAAAATCCCTGCCTTTGTGTAGTTTACATTCTGGGGTAGGGGGGCGGGACGCACAACATAAACACAATAAGTAAATTATATAATGTGTTAGAGTACAGAGTATGAAATAAACTAAATCAGGGTAAGGGAGATCGAGAATGCTAGGGGGTGAAATTTTAAATGGGTTAGTCAGAGCAGGCCTCACTGCAAAAGAAGGCACCTGAGCAAAGACTTAAAGGAAATGAAGGAGCGAGCTGTAGGAATATCTAGGGGAAAAACATTCCAGACCTAGAGAACAAGTACAAAGGTCACAAAGCAGGAGTATGCCATGTTGAGAATCACCTATAAAGAGACAAGAGGCTGTTGAGCTAACATAGGGGAGAAATGAAGGTGGCTTGGATCAAGAGTGTCAGTGATGGAAGTGGTAATTGTCATATTCTGTTTATATTCTGCAAGTAGAAACAACATGACTACTGAGCAAGCAGTGATGTGGGGCTTGGGAGAAAATGAAGTCAACATGGGCAGTTTTGGGCCTGAACAGCTTAAAGGATGGATGGAGTGGTGTTATTAATTGACATAGTGAAAAATTATGGGTAGACCTGCTTTGTGGGGAGCAGAAGAGGCTTGAAGATCCCAGACTGAAGGCATGGAAAGTGTTTCATATGTTCTGTTTCCCTCTCTGCCAGCATGATAACTAGCCCATAGTAATACTAAAAATTATTGAATAAATCAAAGAATATGTAAACCTAATCTTGGACCCCTCCATGGGGATCAAAGCAGTTTAAGGATAAGTTTCCACAATTTGACTCACAAACCTCACCAAAAGTCCTTGAAAACAGCATATACCAGAATAGATCCTAGTTCAAGTAACACTTTCCCCAGTTTTACCCTCAAATAGAGGACTGTCTCAAATTTTTGAGTAAAGGTGGATTGTATAACAACTTTCTCAAGCTATGGCTTCTCCTTGGTTTTTGTAATCCTTAAGAGTCCACAGCCTGATAGCTTTACCCTGAAATACAAGTACCCTGTTTGTTCTGCCTTTATATTAACACAACTTTCAATCCTGGGGTCTTTTACTGTCCTTGTGAAATCGTCAGTCTGGTTTTTTCCTGCATCAGGACCACTGCCTATTCACTAGTGCCATCCTTTTATTATCTCTACTGTGATATTGTGATTTATAATAAAAATATTATCTCTACTGTGATATTGTGATTTATAATAAAAATATATATTTAGTCTTTGTCCCTTTCCTGGCACATAGCTGCTAATACCCTTTAAATTTCTTGTGATGAGAGTGATAAAGGTGTCTTTTGTTATTCATAATAAGCCCCTTTCAACCACACCTGAGTTTATGCTAATGAGGTAATTTTTGGAAAGCCCCTAAGGATGGGAGTTTGTTGCCAGGAGAACCAGCCAGGATTAAAGGCTCGAAACTTTGAGCCCCACCCCCCTTACCTCTGGGGAGGGGAGAGGGGCTGGAGGTTGAATCAATCACCAACGGCCAATGAATTTAATCAATCATTCCTACATAATAAAGCCTCTGTAAAAATCCCTGAATTATAGGGTTCAAAGAGCTTCCATGTTGGTGAACATATGAAAGTGAGTGGAGGGTAGCATGCTTGGAGAGAACATGGAAGCTTCACACCCGTTTCTCCATACCTTGCCCTATGCATCTCTTTCATATGGCTGTTCCTGAGTTATATCCTTTTATAATAAACTGGTATAATCTAGTAAGGAACATACTTTCCTGAGTTCTGTGAGCCATTCTAGCAAATTAATCGAACCTGAGGAGGAGGTTGTGGGAACCTCTGATTTATAGGCTGTTGGTCAGAAGCACAGGTAACACCTGGACTTGCAATTGGGGTCTGAAGTGGGGGAGCATTCTTGTAGCACTGAGCCGTTAACCTGTGGAATCTGACACTATTTCCAGGTAGATATTGTCCGAATTGAGTTAAATTGTAGAACACCCAGCTGGTGTCCCAGAATTGCTTGATGTGTGGAAAACCCACACATCTGGTGTTAGAAGTGAGAGTAGAGGAGACACACGGGAGGAGGAGTTTTTCTTTGTATCTGCTAAAATTACTCTTAAGGGAAAAGACTTTCCTTTAAGCTCGTTCCATTACTGCTTTGGGAACTGAGCGAGTTCCACCCTCGCTTGGCTGGTAGCCATTCCCTTTTCTCTTCCACTTCCACTTTTGACTAATACCACTGCTTGTGGCAGGCAGTCCATGTTCCTTCTCCAAAGTTCTGGATGTACCTGCTGCTCAGGTGGGAGGGCCTATCCTTGTGCTAAAGACTCCATTGCTCACCTGGTTAATTCTGTTACTCCTTGGAGGTCTTCGTCACTTTTGCCGCCATAACTGCTCTTGCTGAATTTCTATTCTCTGCTAAGCCTCTTGTTTTTTTCTGAAGTAGAATGAACCACAACTAAATCTGCTCTACCTCTTTGCACACAGATGAGGCTTGACTCAGTATTTTGGCTCTAAAAAGCTCTCAGCCAACCCCTGAGAGGATGGGGATAAGCAGTCTTTGCATCCCACTGATAAGGTAGCATTGTTCCCTCACTGGACGAGGCCCTTATATTGGCTAGCTAGAATAGACTACAGTAGTCTCCCCTTATCCACTGGTGATACGTTCCAAGACCCCCAGTGGATGCCTAAAACTGCGGATAGTACCAAGCCCTATATATACTATGTTTTTTCCTATACATGCATACCTATGATAAAGTTTAATTTATAAATTAGGCACAGTAAGAGATTAACAATAACTAATAATAAACTAGAACAATTATAACAATATAAAAGTTACCATAGATCTTAGCAACCTTGGCGTATGATTTTTTTTCTTTCCTTATTAAGTTGAGAACTTTCACCTTTACACTTAAAGGAAGCACTTTACAGTTTTTCTTTGGCATGTCTGAATTGCCGGCATCACTACTTTTGCACTTTGGGGCCATTATTAAGTTAAATAAGGGTTATTTGAACACAAACACTGCAGTACTGACAGTTGATCTGATAACTGAGATGGCTACCAAGTGATTAACAGGTGAGTAGCATATACATTGTGGATATGCTGGACAAAGGAATGATTCACATCCCAAGTGGGATGATTCAAGATTTCATCATATTACTCAGACAATTTAAAACTTACGAATTGTTTATTTCTGGAATTTTCCATTTAATATTTCCAGACTGCAATTGATTGCAGGTAACCGAAATGATGGAAAGCAAAATATGGATAAAGGCTCCAGCAAGGCATAAGGATGAATATTCTGTCTTGCCTTCCCCTTAACTGAGGGGTAGCCACCCGTGCCAATGTGGTGAATGCCTTTCCTCCAAGGTCAGATTCTCTTAGGGCCTTTTTTGTTAACTTTATGGAACTCAAGGACCCAAATACAAATGAGCCTAGTTACAATATGTTTATACTTTGTTGACCTTAAACGAATAGCCAGTTATTTGAGATTAGCAAAGAATTGCAATTTAGAGTCTGCAACCGTGGTGAGCCATCTGCAAGTCCTCCACAGCAAGGGAAAGAGAAACTCTTATATAGAGGGGAAGAGGAAGTTGGGAGGGCTTTTGTAAACAAAGAGTTCTGAGGTGTAAGTGGCTTTTTATTGGCTGAGTTGTGACAGTCTCTCATTGTCTGAGCTTCTTGCCAGTCAAAAAGAGGAAATCTTTCTTTTCCCTGTTGGGCTCTGCTATCCATGTAGGGTGTGAGAGCTCCCCCTTTTGGCCTCCTGACTCCAATTTATTGAGGTTTCTGTTTATTAATTTGATAACTTCAAAGCTGTCTCTCAGACCTTTGACAATCTCCTCCCCTATCTAAGCCTGGAGTAATAAATGGTATGTAGATGGTGCTGCTTCCTCATTCATCTTAGAAATAAAAAGAGATTCCTAGGTATCATTGAATGTTTTGAGTTGGAATGAATCTTAAAAGAGCATCTAAATCAAATATCATATTTTCTTTGGCAACTCTGAAGCCCAAAAAGGTTAAGGGTTCTGCCCAGGGTCCTATATCTATTTAATGGCAGAGCTTAAACTAAAACCCAAGCCTCCTGAGTTCAGTACTCTTTCCATTATACCATTTATAAGATTATGTCTTCAGGCACTGAATACGTAATGAAATCATAGTGTTTGATATGCCTTCTAGAGAGAAGGCACACTAAACATGGTCAGTTGAGTAATAAATGCCTATATTTTCAGGGAAGTAACAAATTCTGGGAGAGCTGGGTTTAGTACATGTGGATTTCCATGTTATATTTCTCCATACATTTTGCCATTTAAATGTTGTTTTTCTTTTCTTCTCAAAGATCTTCAGTTTAGATCTTGGAGGTATATCAACTGTGGTTCTAAATGGCTATGATGTGGTAAAGGAATGCCTTGTTCATCAAAGTGAAATTTTTGCAGACAGACCATGTCTTCCTTTATTCATGAAGATGGCAAAAATGGGAGGTATGTTTATTTTCATTTATTTAGTGATTTACTACACTATTTTTGAATCACATTCCTTATTTTATATAAATTTAGTACATAGTTTGGATTCTATTGTACTGATTATGAAAATATTAATTAGCTAATTCATTAATTTAGGTTACAGAATCTAGCATTTGAGCACATTTCAGGCTGCATTACACTCATATTTGGACCAGTACATGCTAATTCTACTGTTGAAATCCAGTTGTAATAAATATTGTAAATAATATTTGAAGAATTAGCACTTAGTAATATCTGCAGGTTTTGTGAAACAAGTTAAGAATACACACACGTGCACACACGCTTGAGTCAAAAATGACTTTTGAAGCCAGTCTTGAATACTTGGTGACATTTTTACTATCATTTTGCTTATAAGCTTATAGAACCTGAAGCAGCCTTTGTTAACTACTAATCAATATATGTAAATGAAGAATTGTGGTGTTTGTGTAAAGGACTAGGATTCTATATGGTTTAGTGTTGATCAGTGTCGAGTGATTCCATATTCAACAAGAGAGAAAGGCTGAAAGTTAATAGAATTGGTGAGAAGAAAGCAGCAACAAAAAGCCTAAAATAGAATGTTGAAGTCAGATACAACACTTTTAATACTTAATAGTATAAGAGTTTTTACAGTAATGGTGTCCAAAATTCTCCAATTTAATGAGAAGTTCACGCTTAATTTCAAAGAAAAATTTAACAATATCTTGCTTACATAGACTAAAAAAGACATTGATTAAAAAGAAAAAGTAAAAATTAACCATATATTAAATCTCAAAGCAAATCAACTAATGCAAAGAAAACACCAGTTTTAAAGGCCAAATTCTCAGGCCAGAGTATAATTATTCTTGAAAGTAATAATATAAATAAAAAGCAAATCTCCAGCTTCTTAAATACGCTTCTAAATAATAGTTAGGCCAAAGAAGAAATTATACCACAATCATAATAGAAGACCTTTAAAGAAATTATGAAAATGAATTGCTCCATAAATACACGTTGAGTGAGTATTTGTTGAATGACTAGTTATCTGAGAGTATGAAAAAGAGAGTGGACTATGGGAATATAAGATTGCTGACAGCACTAAAGACCCCCCCTTGTGTGTGGTTAACTTTATCATAAGCTCCAAATTCAAAAATTGTGGCACAAAAATTGTTGGATTGTAAATTACACAGGTACCTCATATAGACAAGAGAAAATAACATTTTTCATCATAAGTAAACCTATGTATCCGTTATGAATGAAATTTTGAGTAAAATACTTGTTACATAAATATATGTGCTGCAGATATTGTTTGTTTCTTGATAGTTGATTTAAAGGGAAAATATTCAATAGTAGCGACATCAGAACAGCGGAGTATACTGTGGAGACTGAAATTTTAAGACAAAAACATCAACATTAGAAGTTTGAGTTTCATGTTTGCCCTCTGTCTTAGTTCAGGCTGCTATAACAAGAATACCATAGACTGAGTGGCTTAAACAACAAACATTTATTCTCACAGATCTGGAGGTTAGGAAATCCAAGATCAAGGCACTAGCAGATCCAGTATCTGGAAAGAGCCTACTTCCTAGCTTGTAGACAGCAGCATCTCCCTGTATCTTCACATGGCTGAGAGCAGTCATCTCTTCTCGTGTCCCTTCTCATAAGGGCAGTGATCCCATTCATGAGAGCTCCAACCTCATGACCTAATTACCTCCCAAAGTCCCCACTTCCTAATACCATCACATTGGGGATTAGGCTTCATGGTTTGAATTTTGTGGGAACACAAACATTCAATCTATAGTACCCTCCTCTTGGCTTGAGTATTTCCACTACATTGACACCTTATTGAGGCCACTCTTGCCTCTGCCAGAATTATCTTGTTAGGTAACGTATTCCCTTAACAGGAGGAAATTTGTATTCTAAAATCTATTTTCTTAAAGCAGAGAATTTCTAATCCTAGAAGAATGATTTTCAGGTGTTTGCTTAGTCCAAGATAAAGTTTTGCCCATAGAACATGCAGTTGTCTTTTGTAAATTAGGCTTATGTAAAAGTTGGATAATAAAGTCACCCAGGCCTACTTCACCCAGGCTGAATTATGCAAGACTGTCCAGTTTCTTGTGGTAGGAGAATTATAGGTCTTTTTCTGCCTGTCCCCAGATGAGAAATCAACAAACTTTATCTGTTTATAATATTCTGTGGCTAATGAAGAGCAGAGAACAGGGCTTAACCACTGAGTCTAGTTTTAGTTTTATAGAAAGATAATTTGGAGAAGAATGACTAACTATCCTTTTTTTAAAAAAAAAAAAAAACTTCATAGCATTTTTAGCTGTTAGATACAGGGAAGTAGACGTGATAAAATTTTTTAGTGCCTTTTTTTTTTTCTTTTCTCCCAGGCTTACTCAATGCCAGATATGGCCGAGGATGGACTGATCATAGAAGATTAGCTGTAAACAGCTTTCGCTGTTTTGGATATGGCCAAAAGTCTTTTGAATCTAAAATCTTAAAAGAAACAAAATTTTTCATTGATGCTATTGAAACATACAGAGGTAGACCATTTGACTTGAAACAATTAATAACAAATGCTGTTTCAAACATAACCAGTCTGATCATTTTTGGAGAACGATTCACTTATGAAGACACTGATTTTCAGCACATGATTGAGTTATTTAGTAAAAACGTGGAACTAGCTGCCAGTGCCTCAGTCTTCCTGTATAATGCCTTTCCATGGATTGGCATCTTACCTTTTGGAAAACATCAACAGCTGTTTAGAAATGCAAATGTGGTCTATGAGTTTCTCTCCAGGCTCATTGAAAAAGTTTCTGTCAACAGAAAGCCTCAGTTACCTCGGCATTTTGTTGATGCTTATTTAGATAAGATGGATCAAGGTAAAAATGACCCATCATCTGCTTTCTCCAAAGAAAACCTAATTTTCTCGGTGGGTGAACTCATCATTGCTGGAACCGAAACTACAACCAATGTGCTACGGTGGGCAATTCTTTTCATGGCCCTTTATCCTAACATTCAAGGTAAGGATTCTCTTGATCTCAAGGTCTGTCCTTTCATTTAGGGCTCACGGGTTTTAGAGTCTTTGGCCATGTACAAAGCATTTTATATAGGAACTCCTGCTGTGCTAGCCAAGAAGAAAAATACTTAGTAGTTACAAAGAGTTTCCAAATCTGTTATCTCAATTCACATAAAAACTTCTGAGATAGGTCTTATTATGCCTATTTTATAAATGAGGGAAAAGGCTGAGTGGCTGACTTGCCCAAGCTCAGCCACTGGGAGTAGCGGAGCTGGGACCTGCACCCTCGTTTTTTTTAATTCAAGTTTTGTGTTTCACTATTTTCCTTGCTGAGAGTGATGTTACTCCAGTTCTAGGTTTGTTTAATTTTTGTTACTTTTAATGTGTTTTTCACAACAAAGTTACTCAGAGCATTGGCTATTGGTAGTACAAGATATATGGCATATGTTTAAATTGAACTCCCAGATAATAAAAAGTCTGAATCTGGGTATACCCATACCGTATTGGCTTATTATAGGTTGTACTTTGTTTTATCCTACAGGGAAATTGCTTTAGATGTAATTCTAAGAATTGAATAATAACTTGAACACTTTTTCTCTGACAGGACAAGTTCAGAAAGAGATTGATTTAATTATGGGACCCAGTGGAAAGCCATCTTGGGAAGACAAATGCAAAATGCCTTATACTGAGGCAGTTTTGCATGAAGTTTTAAGATTCTGTAATATCGTGCCATTAGGGATTTTCCACGCAACCTCTGAAGATGCAGTTGTACGTGGTTATTACATTCCTAAAGGCACAACAGTAATTACAAATCTTTATTCTGTACACTTTGATGAGAGGTACTGGAGAGACCCAGAAATATTCTATCCTGAGCGATTTCTGGACAGCAGTGGATGTTTTGCCAAGAAGGAAGCTTTGATTCCTTTCTCCCTAGGTAAGAGCACTTTCACAGGGGCATGACTCCAGGACAAAGTATAGTGATAATTCCCATCATGTATAACATCTTAACCTGAAGCATCCTGTTATAGAATTAAATATTGCAACACCGAAAACATAGTGTTGATTCTTACAGGAGAAAATGGTTTAATTAGAAGTCATTAATACCTGTTTCTACTCAGAATAAACAAGCTTTAATGTAGTAACTAAAGAGAAACTGTTGAGTATCTCTGGCTTTTTCTGAAACTTTTTTGCTTGTAGATTTTTGGCTTGTAATCAAAACTCATAGAGCTAGAAGTCAGTAACAGGTAGCTTGAGAAACTGAGATCCAAGGAGGGAAATAACATCATAATTTGAAGTGAAGCTAGAATCCAGCTCTCTTGGCTCCCAGTTTATTATACCTCATCTCCAGAAATATTGCTTCTGCTGTGGAAAAGTACACAGATCACAAGACCCATGGAAGATGGGCTGGAAACTCTTCCTTTCATTGGGGAAGGGTACACATTTAGTCATTTAAAATGAAATGAGCTTCTCCTGGATCTATAGAACAAACTGTCACACCTTAAATTAGATCTTTCATGGCATATCTTAGGCTCTGTTGCAACGTGCAAGGAAAGTGGGGAATGGGACTAATAAGCTTACAAAAGTTCATGACCTGACAAAAGAAGGTAAAGAAATGGGCTGTAGGAGCTGAAGTGCCAACTTCTGTTCTTTGTAGTTTAAGAAAAATCCTTTAATAAACATAACTTCCTTTAAATTTCAGATTTCCTGAATGGCAGCCACATATTAGACACAAATTTTAGTAAATATTTTGTATTTTTAAAAATTATGATGTCTGTTTTTTTCTGTTTAGGGAGAAGACATTGTCTTGGAGAACAGCTGGCTCGAATGGAAATGTTCCTGTTTTTTACAGCATTGCTTCAGCGGTTTCACTTGCATTTTCCACATGAACTGGTTCCAAATCTGAAGCCTAAGTTAGGCATGACATTGCAACCCCAGCCCTACCTCCTCTGTGCAAAAAGACGCTGAACGTGCATGGCTGTTTTGTGGAACAAGGCTATATATTTGCCTCACCCTTGAACCTTGTTTAATCAGTATGTGTTTAGGCAAAAGTCACAGCATTGTAAAGCCAAATGAACACAGATGTGTCTTTAAAAATAGTACTAAAGCAATAATAAACATTAGCTATGATTTTTTTTCAAGCTTTTATGACTTCTAAGGTTGAATTATCTGTTGAGGAAAACAAAGGTGCAAATTACAGGTGTTGCTAAGAAGGGCCATGGATGCCCTAGGCAGAGCCTGATTTGTCAGCCTCTTGAGCACCAGGCATCTCCCATCCCTTCTTGACTCCATCTTGCTCCTGTCCTGGGGGCTTTGCTTCCAAATCCCAATGCCAGCTCCCTTCTGATCTGGTTCTAGTCCAGTTTAATAGAGGACTAAAGAAGAAATTAGAATCTAAATAAATGAGTTTTGACTACAGAGGTATTTTAGACATAGTGGCAGATGATAGAAGAAATATCTATATATTTCATGTGGAACCTGCCAATGCTTTCAAATCTTGCTCCCTACTATGTCTTCATAAGAGTTGTGTCATTCTTCCTACAAATGAGGGTCCCTGTGACCCCTGAGTATCTATCCCCATAGCAGCAGTTCAGTAGACAGGAAATTACAATAATGTATTTAAAATAAAAATGATATGTGACTATTAATTCTTTGTAGGCACAGATATTTTCCCTAGTACCACTCTTCCAAAACCAGTCACAGGGCTTAAAGATTGAATCCTTTTACCTTTTTGAAGTCTCTAGGCATTTCCTTGATTACTGTTATTTTTCTAAAGATAATACTATTCAACTCCAAAAAACATGCTTTAGAGCCAGGGTAACTGTATAATTTGGGACACTTGAGAGTGATGGGCTTCTATTAATAATTATGCCAGGAAAACAATTGTAAACTGTGTCCTGATCAAACACCAGTTTGATTTCTTCAACTATTTCTTCTAAAGTTGTACATTAAGGTTCATGCTCTTGTAACTTGGCTCATGAATAGTTGCAGCCTCAGAGTAAATGCACATAACAATGACTTCTGTTAAGAATATGAATTTAACCTTAGTTTGACCTCATCTGTTGAATATTTTCAAGTTTCTGTGTGATAACTTAGGCGTCTTTGCATCCCTCATATATTAAGATGTTTCTAGTTGCAAGGGGAAAATAATTCTGTGCAAATTTGCTTAAATAATAAAAGAGAAGTTCAGAGGTAGCAGGGCAATTTCAGGGTAGGTATGACCTAGATGCTCCATGATGTAATCAAATATCCTGTTTGCATCTCTCAAGTTTCCCGTCCAGGTGGTATCAGCTTTATCTTAAGGCTGGCACATGGAAGCACATATGTTTTTCCCACCTCCTTGTAGAGAGAGTGAGTTTGGATAGTTTCTGGGAGAGCAAGGAAGCTTTTCAGACGTTCCCCTAAAACTGTTCTTTGTGTCCCGTAGGTCCTAACTAAGTTATGCGCCCATCCATTAAAACTATGTCTTGTGAGTGAGATTATGGTTCACTTAAGCCTGATGACTAGAGCCAGTGGTGGAGTTGGCTTCCTCGAAAGTACATGTGCTACTTTGGGGTGATATAGTTACCTAAACAAAAATAAGGAGAATTGTGAAGAGAAGAGGAACTACTGACTAGGAGACTAATTACAATATGTACCTTTCTGCCCTCTGACCACCTGCTAAGCCAGGCAACTTTCCAACCTACCTCCCTGACTCTTGACAAATGTACTCATTCAAGTTGCTCTTTGATCCTTGTTCTTCCTTTGAAAAGAAAATCTCTCATCCTGGGCCTGCTACTTGCTGTCATATCTCCTATAAATGCCTAAGTTGAACTCTACAGACTGGGGGTTCTGGAGGCTTGGTGGCCTTACTGAGCAAAGAAATGTAGTGAATTGGAGTAGATTATAATCAAAATTGAGGAGGCCTTATTTTGCTCTTGAACACTACCACTATTTCTTCTAGGATGATTAAGAACTCCATAAACCTACACAGGGGTTCAGACAGGGAAGTGATTCCTCTAGTTCATAGCAGAGGCATGCCCTTTTTCATCTCGTATTCTTTTTAAGCACATCCAATAATTTATACTATGCTTTACGATTTATAGGGTTGCTTTTCATGTACTGTCAATTCTTGACTGTTTTGAGCCAATTAACTGTGGTAAAAATAAAATACTACATTTTTGGAAAAATATAAATTAATGTGAATTAGTAAGTAATCCATAATGGAAAATATTTATTTTTTAGAACTACATAGTAAAAGACTGGATCTACTACAAGGGGAATGCCTTCTCTCTCATGAGTCAATGGTGAGCTACTACTTAGAATGTTGGAAATGTAACTTCTTATTTAAGATGGCAACACTTATTTCTTCTCAAATGCCACTGAAATTATCTTAAGGATAGAAAAAGGGATAAAGGCATTGAGAGTGGGGCTGGAGGGCCATATTAAGTGAATCAGATACTTTCAAGTTCTAAAAGATGGAAGGCAAATGGAATAATATTGAAGGAACCACAGACAAGACCATGCATTGACAAAGCCTGAGGTAGAGATGGGAACTCATTCTTCACAGGACAGCTCTGGGGAAAATCAGTAGATAAGAAGCGGGGTAGGTAAGGACAGCAAAAGCAGGGAGAAATCAAGCTGATGCCCTGTCCCTACTCTGCTTTCTCTTCCTGTTTGTGCTGCTGTAGAACTTGCCCCCAGTGCTGAAGTGAAAGTCTAAGTAAACTGAGTACTATGCCTAGGAGATAGGGATACTCCTACACAGAGATCGGTGCCCCAGATTGGCAGCCCCCTAATTTGGTCTGATTTTGACCTAAAGTTCTACATCACTGAAACTATTAATCAGGTGTGAGGGCAAGTTTCAATCAGCCAAGCGATGACTGGGGAAATGTCAGCAAGAGGGCTAGTGTTCAGAATTGAATATATTTATAGAACTGAGACAAAAACAAAGATGGAATAAGTGTGACAATAAAATCTAAACATGTTACACTCTGACAGTGTAGAAATAATGCATCTAACAAAAAACAACGAGAGGAGAAAAGATAGAATGTAGAATAAGCTCTCTGATTGCCTCATATATAATAGGAGTCAAAGGATATAACTTAGAACTGACAAACGAAGTAGTAGAAGTTTAAGTATATTTAAGAGTAAAAAAGTAAAAAGTAGTAATGTTGCCTAAAATTGGGTAGTTGAGGACACGGAGAAAGAAGAAGTATAAGCTAATTTTATTATTCATAGAAGAGAAGCAGACACTGTCCAAAGAAACAGGGTCCAAAGATGCTTATATAAAGGTATAAGTATAAAGATGAGCACTAAATCAAAAATACAAACCTTCCTAATTGTTAGAACTAAAATTAATTTTTTAGTAAAGAGCAAATAATATGGGAGAGTAAATGAAGTTGACTGTTGACACTACTGGTTTTATAATACATGACAGATTCAAGTATTTTCTGCAAAGTACCTGCTAATGAATAATAGTTTGTCCAACTACGTCTTTTTATGTTCCACCTATATTTTTACACCAGTTTTGTGAATTTTTGTCAGAAACAGAAGATGACTGTCCTGACTTCCTCTACCACACAACAGTTCAATGACTTAGCAGTGATAACATTTTATTGCAAATTTTTGTGCTTCAAGGCCAAGACTGAAATTTTTCTGAATGAGAAGAACCACCCTCAACCACTGTTATCGAATACTGAATGGCTTTGGACATCAGCTTTTACATCAGACTTGATTGTTCTTAACCAGTTTAACCTCAAATTATAAAGCAAAATAGTGCTTATCTGGGAAACGTAATGAGGTGCAGTCATTGCCACAACCTAACGCTTTGAATCAAAGTAATGTCGAGCTGCTTTCTCCGCTTCTCGTGCTGTCAAAAACCAAAACAAGAAGTGAGGCTTCCATTCCCACACAGCCTTCCAGCAGATATATTTTGTGAGCTCGAACTAAAGTTTCTTCAGCATGTTTTCGTACCTGGATTCAAGTGCAAAGGAAATTTCCATATTTCAAAATTTATTTAACTGTGCAGTCGAGGAGCTTCCACCTAACCTTCAATTGCAAGTGATTAGTCTGCAAAATAATGACATGCTAAAAGACAAATATCAGATAATTTAAGGAAATTCTATAAATGTCTTCCCAGTGATTAATATACTCAATTAAAATCAGATGCTCATGGATTGATATCAGTGTTTGGCAGTACCCATCTCTGTGAAAAGCCACTTTCAAATATGAAATATGTAAATCTCATTACAGATCAGCATTAACAGATGAACATTTGTAATGTTTTGATGATAGGAAACATGAACTTTGAACCCCAATTAAGCAAAATTTTATTTCTGCAAAAAGAATTTCCTTTTCCTCATTAGTGGATCAATATTATTTTAAAAAGTAGTTTAATTATATTTTGAATATCATCAATAAAAAATTTTCATTCTTGTTATATAAGTACCTACGTAATGTGCTTGGCGTACAGAGCCTAAAATATTTACTATCTGCCCCTTTACAAAAACGTATGCTAACTCTGGAATTAGACAAACCACTAGCTAATTAATCAAGGAAAAAGGAGAAATAGCATAAATACTCAAAATATGAAATGACAAGGGAGCATAATCACAGAAATAGAATTTTAATAATCATAAGAAATTGATTTGTATAACAATGCAAAGAAGTTTGAAGAATGAAATGGATAGTCTCTATGAAAATATAATTTACCAAAATTGACTCTAGAAGAAATAGTCTGAACAGATCAGTTTTCATAAAAGAAAAAGTTGCCAAAGATATAGCCCTCAAAAACCAATTTGAGCTGTTCCAGAGCAGAGAAACAAAAAGGAAACTTTTGAATGCTTTTTTGGAATTAAAAAAACAGCAAAGATAAACCATTCCCACTTATGGCTCTCAATTTTAAAATCCTAAATAAATTATTAAGGAAAGATCCAATACTACATTTAAAAATTAATGTATTATGACCAAGTAGAGTTTACTCCAGGAATATAAGAATGGTTCAATGTTAGGAAATATTAATATTAATCATATATAGAGAAAATTCATGTGGACATCTTCATAGATGCTGAAAAGGCATTTGACAAAATTCA